ATAGACTGCATCTGCGAGTCTAGGTATGCCAGAAACCCTAAAGTCCAGAACCGTTGAGGGTTTAGGGTTTAGGGTTTAGGGGTTTAGGGTTTAGGGTTTAGGGCACCCGAAGCCCTCATCCTTAAAGCCACTCAGGCCCTTAGTACCAAAGTGGTAGTACATATGGAGCTTGTGGGATGCGATGAGTACGGCGACCACCGTAAGAGGTAGTGCTTACGGATGTAGACTGTGTAGGTCTAGTGGTGTCATCTCCTATTGGGGCATGAACAACAACTGCTACTATTACCCTAAGCCCTAAACCCTAAACCCTATTCCGGACACCAAGTAAGAAAAACAAAAACCGCGAAACCACCGATCCAACTACAGATTTCCTCAAGGACCAAACTGCATAACGGCTATGTGAGAAGTTCTCTAAATGAGGGTGCCTTGCTGGTCCCCAATATAGTACGGCACCCTTCTACAAAAGGCACCCTAAAATAAACCCTGTTTAGAGAACTACCCCTAGACTACCCCCATAGAAGCGCTATACCCTAAACCCTAAAAGCCCTAAAACCTAATTTTTAGAGAACTACCCCTATACTACCCCCCATAGAAGCGCTAAACCCTAAACCCTAAAAGCCCTAAGCCCTAATCTTTAGAAAACTACTCATATAGGTATCTGGGAACCTCAAACTGGATCATCCTTATGTGGACGCTTCGGGTAAGTAGGATGGGTATTCCTTGTTATAAGGAATCCTACAGTTTAGGGGCCTTAGCGGTTTAGGATTTGGGTTGAGGGTCTACTCTTCCGGAAGTAGAAGGTAAGAAACAGAAGCCCCGGACAGGACTTGCAGAGCTGCATCTCATGGAAATCGTGTAACCCTGCCACACCTACTTCTGAGGCGGTTTAGGGTTTAGGGGCTTAGGGTTTTATGGTTTAGGGTTTAAGGTTTAGGGTTTAGGGCCCACATACTAAGGGTCCAAGTACCTCATAATCATATACTCTCCCGAATATGTCCCTAGATAACTAATATCCGCCACCAAAGTACCTTCTTATTGGGTCCTTTGGACCCTTAGGGACATCTCTGCTTCCCGCTATAACCATCGACCCTAACACCTAACAGTCTGTAAGCCTGTCACTCTGTACACAACCCTTAAAACATCTTCATACATCCTTGGTGAAACCTCAGCCATTCAGATACATGCTATACAAAGCCCCAAAACCCAAACCCAAAGCACACCAAATAATGACAACCCTTCGCTCAATCTATAAAACCTATAAGCCCCAAACCCCTAAACCCTGAACCTCAAACCCCTTAAATCCTATAGAACCCTTCAATCAAGGAGCCCTTAAAGGAGGCTCCTTTACAGTAACCCTTGGTAGAACCCTTACAACAACCCTTAAGGTAACACTTAAAATAGCCCTTACAAAAGCCCTTCGAGGAACCCCTGATCGGAACCCCTAAACCCTAAACCCCAAAAGCCTTAAACCCTAATCCCCAAACCCTAAAAACTCTAAAAACCCTAAACCCGAAACGCTGAACCCCTAAACCCCTAAACCTTAAACCCTACACCCTAAACCCCCCTTAACCCTAAACACTTAAACCCTAAACCCTACAAGCCCTAACTAAACCCTAAACCCCCTGAGCCCGAAACCCTAAAAGCCCTAAGCCCCCCTTAACCCCAAACGCTAAAAACCCTAAACCCCTAACCCCTAAACTCTAAACCCCCAAACCCCTAAACCTTAAACCCTACACCCTAAACCCCTAAACCTTAAACCTCAAACCCTACATCCTAAACCCTAAACCCTACACCCCTAAATCCTGAACCACAAAATCCTTAAGCCCTAAACCCCAAACCCTAAAAGCCCTAAACCCAAAACCCCAACTCCAAAACCCTAAACCCCTAAACCCCTAAACCCTAAACCCTACAAGCCCTAAACCCTTAAACCCTAAACCCTACTAGCCCTAACTAAACCCTAAACCCCAAAAGCCCTAAACCTTAACCCCTGCATCCTAAACCCTAAACCCTAAACCCTAAACCCTAAACCCTAAACCTTAACTTTCTTAACGGGACCCTTAGAGTCTTCGAGGCCCAGCCTTCGTGGCCCAGGCTGTTTGGGTGCGCGCTGTCGCGGCTTCCGCCTTCCGGCCAATGGCCCTTCCTGAGGCTTATGGGGATTATAGGGTTTAGGGTTTAGAGTCTAGGGTTTAGGGTTTAGGGTTTAGGGTTTAGAGTCTAGGGTTTTGGGTTTAGGGTTTGGAGTCTAGGGTTTAGGACTTTGGGTTCAGAGTCTAGGCTTCAGGACTTTGGGTTTGGGTTTATGGTATAGGGTTTTTGGTGTTTAGAGTTTAGGGTATAAGTTTTTTTGGGTGTTTCTCTGGGGATTCTATAAGTGGGGCCTGTGGGGGGGGGGTTCCTGTAATGGTTGCCCTGAGGCCTTTCTACAGGTCCAAAGGACCAAGAATAAGGTACTTTGGTTGCGGATAGTGGTTGTCTAGGTGAATATTTAGGAGAATATATGATTACTAGGTATTTGGACCCTTAGGGTTTAAGCTTTGTTTGTGTTGAATTTCTACAAGTACATAACAGCTTTTCGTGGATTATCACCAATGTTTTGGGGGTATGTAGGGAGGCTTCTTAGGCCAGCAAAGGTACTATACCTGAAAGAAACCCTTACCCTCAAAGGACTCATACTTTAAGGCTTTCGGGCCCAAAGACCCTATTATGAAAGGCTTTTGGGCTACTTTGATGCTAAGGGAAAGAAAAATAAGCGTATGATTCCGAAAGCATCTGGGCATCAAAGCCTACCATGTCGTAGAGTCTTGGGTTTCAGCCCTAAGCCCTAAACCCTAAACCCTAAACCCTAAACCCTAGACCCGAAACCCTAGGTTTTGGGCTTTCAGCCTGTGTTTTGGTGTTTATAAGGCGTATGGGAAGCGACCTGAAGCCGAGCATGGTGGGTACACGGACCGGTTCCTTAAGGACGACGGTTTAGGGTTTAGGGTTTCGGGTGTATGACTTAAGGTAGTTGTCAAAATTCGGGTCCCTTTTGGGGTACCCTAAATAATAGGTGCCGTATTATAATAAGGACCCCGAGAAGGGACCATAATTTTGACAACCACCCATGTGGGTTTAGGGTGTATGACTTAAGGTTGTATTATGTGAAGGTATACCCTACACCTAAACCCTAAACCCTCAACCCCTAAACCCTAAACCCTAAACCCTGAACCCTGAACCCTAAACCCTAAACCCTAAACCCTAAACCCTAAACCCTACTTTTAGGGTTCATGTCGTCCTCAAGGTTCCTAGAACCTCCATCTACCCTCTATTCGACCCTAAATACCCTTCATTTGGGGACCAGATATCCCGAAACTGTAAGCCCTAAATCTAAACCCTAACCCTATTGGAGGGTACTTTGAGGGGGGTCCTGCTTGGAGGGTCGGAGGACTTAGTAAGTAGGTAATAAGTAGAGCCTAAGTGGAATCCTAATTGAGGTTATGGTACTTATAACTCTATAAAAGTAACTACTTACTAAGTCCCCCGACCCTCCAAGTGGCTGAGGCTCTTTTCACAGGCGCAGCCAGCTCTCATCGCAGACTGAGAACTCGCAAGGGAGCTTGTTGGAACTTCTCAGAGTTCTCCAACTACCCTCTATTGTACCCTAAATACCCACTATTAAGGACCATAAGGGCTCTATTAAAGGGCCATTGGGGGGTGCTGGTAGGGTTTAGGGTTTAAGGTTTTGGGTTTTGAGGGGGGCTCCTTGTTAAAGTTATTGTATACTACACGGCGCAGTATACCCCAAAGCCTATTCTAACTATTAAGGGCAGTACCTACCTGGACCCCAATGAACCTACCTTCTGAAGGACTTCTACGATGAAATTCATACTAGGGAAACCAAACAGGGAAGGTTTTACAGGGTCCAGGTAGGCCCCTTCGCGTAGTACTTTTGTTCAGATAACCTTTTTTGGTCAGGATCCTAGGGTTTTAGAGTTTTAGGGTTTCGGGTTTAGGGGTTTCGGGTTTAGGGTTTAGGTAGTTTAGGGCTTAGGGTTTAGGATCCTAGGATAGGAAAGCAAGGTCCGGGTAACCTCGAAGAGGTACTACGCTGCAGGGTCAGGCCTCGGTAGAGTGCATGTATACTCGATAGACTACTTAAGCCTTAACCCTAAAGGTCCATGCATACCCAAAGATATTATAATTATGCCTTAAAGTAGTAATTAGTCCCTATGTAGATACTTTGGGGCCAACGTACGTACAGAGACCCTTAGCGTAGGCGCTTTCCAGCATCACCCTAAACCCTAAACCCTAAACCGTGTACCTGGAAGCAGCCCGCGGCGAGGCTCCTTGCACTGTTTGCAATGCCTAATGCAGGGGCTTTAACAATTACCTAGACTATTTTTGAAGGGGGTTCCTTATTATAGGTATATTATAAGGGACCCCAAAACCCTAACTATCTTATGTTTGTTTTTTTTGGGGGCGTTCCTTATTATAGTTATATTACAAGGGACCCCAAAACGCTATTCTAAATATTAAGGCCCCTATATTGCCACACCGGCAGGGACGCTGGGGCATGTCCTAAACCTGAAAACCCTAAACCTAAACCATCAAGGGTTCAGATCGCACCTATCCCCCTCCCCCCGACCCCCAAGCCAGTTCAGGAAGCCAGATACACTTTTAGGAGCGTTGTTGGGAGCCTTCTGCGATCCGGAACACTTCCAGAGTTAAGGGCCAGGGAATTTCGAAAGCCATCATGAAGCCCGATGGAACCCACATAATGTAGGGACCTTAATAATCAATAATCAGAGTAGGGCTTTGGGGGTTCATTAGACTACAATTACAATATGGAACCCCCAAACTGGTATTAGTAATTATTTCGGCCCCCATATTAAGAACTTTAAATCTAGGACATTTTCAGGAGGGGAGCTACCGTTATAGGAGCCTTATAGACGGTCGATATACCTTATAGAAGCCCAAACTCCCCACCTGAAGTTTCCTAGAATTAAAAGCTTGCCTTCTCAGTGCCCGGGATGTGCTGCTGGGCGAGCCAGTCGTGGCCTCTTGCTGGGCTGAGTGGGCTCCTTCTTCTTTTTCAAGAGGCGCACGATGTCCTGCAAGACTTCCCCCAAGAGGCCATGGACAAAAAACACAACGGTTAAAGTCCAGACTACCTTAAAGTCGAAATGAACCCCTTAGAAGGGTTGAAGGTTCGTATACAACATAGGGGTTCATAGTGGCCATAGTATCAAAGGGTATAGAGGCCCTACCTTTAGGCAGAGACCAAGGAGAAAAAAAACACAACCGGTTTCAAACTCGAGGCTTGTACCAAAAACAAGCTTGCACCCTTAAAAGTGGACAGGTCGTGTGTTGGGCAACTATGCTGAGTCCTCATCTCCGAAAACTGTGGCGATGGAAGCTGGGCTTTCCCCGCTGGAATCCTTCTTGAGCCTGTCTGCCCCTGCATCCAACAACAGCTGCACCATTTCCTTAGGGGCTGAGTGCCCTAGCCCAAGAAAGGTTAACCTTTTGAATTATAGTAGGGTTATAAGAGCCCCAAAAGGTTGAAGGTTACCTACCCAGCCACTAAGTTTCCTTACTTCCCCAATAAGCTAGGGAAATAAAAGGTTAAACTTTCAGGTTACTACTACTTTATAAGAAACCAAAAAGTTTAAAGGTTGGGTATTGGAGAATTAAGTTTCTGCGTGAACCCTAAACCCTAAACCCTTAAAGGTTACCTAATTACTCAGCCACTAAGTTTCTGAGTGGGCATGGCGAACAGCTTTGAAGAGAGGCGTCCACCCGTTTGCATCGACTTTGTCCACCTCCGCCCGGGCAGAGAGCAACATACCTATACTGAACTTTAGGGTTTAGGGTTTAGGGTTTAGGGTTTAGGGTTTAGACCCCTAGCAAAAAAATAGAATTTTAGCTTCTTCTTAGGGTTTATAGTAGCCAAAGATTAAAAAGTATTTCTAAGTACCTCTAGGATACGGGCAATATCCAAACGACCCCGTGCTGCTGCGCGATGAAGGGCACTGGAGCCCCTCGATGTATCACCGAGCTCGTGAGTGCACGACTGATTCACCTCCGCACCTGCCTCAAGAAGCATCTTCACCATGTCTGTGCAACCCTTCTCGCATGCGTAGACAAGGGCCGGCTTGCCCATATTATCCGTCTTCTCCACATTCGCACGGGCCTTCAACAAGAGCTCCGCAACCTTGGTGCATTGAGCCACCTCCGCCCAAGCACCTGAAGTTGTGCTGGATAGCGCTTGCAAAAGGGGGCTTCTGCCACCTTGGTTGGCAATATTCACGTCTGCACGTGACTCCAGCATCAGCTGTATGCACTGCACCTGCCCGGAATGCTCAAGCTCAGCTGCGAGGCACCTTCGTGCTCTTTGCCGGACTTTCAGGACAAACAATGGTGTAGGGCTTTAGAGTTTACATGAGGCTAAAATACCAAGACTGAGGCTTTACGTTTGTCCATATTCTTTGCGTGGCTTTGGAAACGACAACAACAAGCGCTGGGAAAGGGACACAGGGGTATTAGGGTTACTATATTCACATACCGAAATATTAAATTACAACACGACTATCCTACACCCAGGTAGCCAATTATTGGCTCCTTTGGACACTTAGCCCTAAACCCTAAACCCTAAACCCTGAGACCAAGGCGCAAAGGAGTCTTGTCATCTATCGTGGTCCGATCCTTGCTAGCACCTGCCTCAAGGAGCAAACGGGCCACATCCGCATGGCCTTGGTTCGCCGGAGCAGCAGCAACAACATGCTGGCTACGTTATGAGTTGGGGGTTTCCGAAAATAGGGGACCCTAATATAGCACCCAAAATAGTAGGATCCTTACTATAAGGACCCCCAAAATAAGGTACCCTAATTTTCGGAAACTCCCAGTTCATCAAAGCCCTAAAACCCTGCAACCCAAACCCGAAACCCTTTAGGGGGCGGGGGAGGGAACATATTCCACTTCTCTTGCTGATCGGCCCATGACCGGACCTTAACAAAGGTGCCCCGAGAAACTCTGAGAATCCCAAAAAAACCCAAACCCTAATGAAACCAAATAGTTTCCACATTAGTGCTTAATGTTCCTTAGCACGACAGTATCATAATTTGCTCCACAGCCCTCGTCTATCCTCTTCTAACATTCTGAAAGCCAAGCCACGCCACTATACTGCAACCCTAGACCCTAAAGCCTAAACCCTAAACCCGAAGCCTTAAACCCCTAAACCCCTAAACCCTAAACCCTAAACCCTAAACCCCTAAACCTCTAAGCCCCTAAACCCCTAAACCCTAAACCCCTACACCCTAAGCCTTAAACCCCTAAACCCCTGAACCCTAAACCCTGAACCCCTAGACCCCTAGACCCCTAAA